ATTGAGTGAGGAAGGAAGAATGAACACACGCAGAAGTGTGGGCAGGGCATAAGAGTAGAAGATTATTTGTAGAGTGAAGGGTTCTGTTATGATTGGAGCACAAGAACTGGAAGGAGGATGTCAAGTATGTAGGCGAGTTAGGAGAGTTGAGAATAGTGTAGAGAGTCGTTAGTGCCCGCAGGTGACGACGCTGACGAATTGGGAGCCAATTTAATTTAAGACGAAAGGAGGAAATATGATCATATTTACGAAGATTAAAAATGAATCGAATGCAGTTATTAAGAAGACGGTTATTAGTAGTACACATCACCATAATCTATAATGGGCAAAATTAAAGTTTGTACCAACATCGCTTTAATCTCGGAAGGTAAAAAATTCTTTAGTCGGTATAACACCCGCAGGGTTCCTGTAACTTTCTGGCTGACATTAGTAACCTGGGTTTGCCAATTGAGGTTGCAATCAATGAACAGTCCCAGATCCTTCACAGTAGAACTTAGGGGAATGATTGACCCGTTAAATACTAGGGATGGTAGTTTTTCTTGATCTAGCCTTCTGGTCATATGTGGACTGCCTAAGATGATAGCCTGGCACTTTGTGGGGTTCACAGTCAAACCGAACCTATAGGACCAACTGCTAATAGTCTCCAGGTCGCCGTTTATCATGGCAATAACCTCCGTTACATTACTTACTGCTGCTATACTTACTTATATAAATTTACTGTGGATACTTCTATTAAACTATGTTAGAGGCTCGCAGTTCTCTGCAACGGCCAGTTCGACTTAAAGTTATGCCCCTCACTTATCAGCTAGAACTTATTTTACACCCCAATCAATCATTGTTAGCAAGATCTCTATCTGCCATTCTCTTCGTTCCACCTTTTTTAAATTAACAATCAACTGTCTTAGTTTAGTCATAATACAATATCTTTTCGTCCAAGGTAAACAAGCAAAATGATAACCTCTTGACTCTTATAAAGTAGTATTTACAGCTTTAGACACTGTTGTCAGTAAAACATGTGATTTGATATAGTAGATTGAACCTTACATGGCCATAAATGTGAGGTGCAATCTTAATATATGAAATCGTACCAATTTCTCGAAATGTTGATAGTTGTTACTACAAAAAGTAAAAAAAGACTTATCAAACAAGATTTACTTGATGCCGAGAGGTGAATAATAAGGAGTGTTCAGAAGGTGTTGTTCTATTTAGTAACCGCCCACCGTTTTCTAAGAATAACGGAATGAAACGAAACAAATAGAAACTACCAGATGAGTGTAATGACAGAACCCAAAATTGATATAGGTTTTGAAGTTCACTATTTTTTTGCGTTTCATATTACTAAGACTAATGCATACATGCATACCTAAGAAATTTAAAATTTATTTTACATATTTATTTCACCATCTTATTTTGCATGTGTTGAGATTATAAACGCTTTAAAAAAAAACAATGTAAACCGACTTAAAAAAAGAGAACTAAAAGTGAAAAATAATTAATTAAACTTAATAGAAAAGCCTACAATACCATATAGCACTTCAAATAGATTAGACAAAAGCACTAAGTAACAATTATTCTGTTTAAAACTAGTACCGAACCCGAAACATAAAGATACTTAAGGTTACAAACAGCTTAATTAAGTAAGCACGGAACATAATTGACATGAATGTATCGATCTGTCTTTAATAATATAATTTATTAATTGTTAAAGACCAATCGATCGATTAGTCGTTAATAATTTATTAAATGTTAAAGACTAATCGATAATTTTATGTTACTTACAAATTTACAACGAAGTGATAAAAGATTCAAAATTCAACAACCATTGGCTTTTTCGAGTTATTAAAGCAGAAACTATTTGAATTGTACTTGTGCGTGGTGCTTTTATGTTACCTATTTTATTAAAAATATCACGTATATCATACTTAATGTTAAAAATTAGGCTAGTAATCAATTACTATCTACTAAATTGCAGGTTGTCCTAGTTTAGAACACAGCAGCTACTAACTATATACCTACACCTTTTGTATGGTTAAATGTATAATCTATAATCACATATAACAAAGGTTTTAAAGTCCCATAAAGTTATTTTCTCCCTTTCAGAGGGCATCCAAAAATGCAAAATAATAAATAATTATTTTTCACTTTTGAGTGCCCTCTGAAAGTATATTATATAGTATTATTATTATATAGTATATTATTTTGGAGTTGTTTTATCCTTTTTTCCGTCAATGACGATTAATTTCAAGATAAATCAATACGCCTTTAGTGACCCAGGGGATCCCTGAAAATGGTGGTAATGGGCCCTTAGGTTCATACAGTTTAAACAAAAAAAAAGACTTATTAAATCGGCCCATAAGTAACAGAAATATCGGTGAACGGTGAAGTAATTCTAACGGCTATAAAAAAATATGCAGACAGTAGCGTATTTGTTTTTTATGTGAAAGGGGCAGACGAGCAGACGGGTCACCTGAATAACTACACAATTCCAGAAAGTGACCATCACCCATGAACATATGCAACTCAGGAGTCACAAACGCGTTACCGGCCCTTTAAGAAGGAGTACGCTCTTTTCTTGAAGGTCTGAAGGTCGTATCGGTCCGGAAATACCGCAGACGATAACAGACATTAAACAGATTGGTTGTGTGGGGCAAGAAGTGTCTCTAAAAGCGCACAGTAGTGGAGCGCCAACTATCCAGGTGATGAGGATGTAAATTTTGCCGTGTGGAACGATGGCGGAAAGATGCAGCTGGTATTAGTCCAATGCTGTAAAGAGAGAGAAGCTGGTACTGAGGTGCCCCTGCGACGCACTTACGCCTTAAGGAGTGATATACTGCCTCGATTTGTTCAGCACACCGAGCTTCTTCGAGGCCAATTTGACCTTACCCTCTAAGTGACCCCGACTAATTCTTAAACGTAGTTCTTTGAAGTTGGTATTTTAAACCGACAGACCGATGAAATTCGGGATTTTTTCCATGATATGCCACTTCTAATTATAGTTTTTTTTATTATTATATCATTTTCGAACTAGAATTTTGGATAACTTAGTTAAGCATAGCCTATAATTTCTAACAAGTATTATCTCCATCCCACGGATGCGATATATATTACAAAATATATTTTATATCTAGTTTAAAATCAAAATATATTATAAGGTTTTTTTAAGGTCAAAAATTCAGCTTGTTAAATATCATAAAACATAGATTGTTAAATCTCCAATAATCGGTAATATTACCACCATTTAAAAGAGAACGATATCTATAATATCAGACTGAGAGGGGCGGTATATACGATTGTCATGGAAAACAACTGATGACCTCGCTTGAAAAACAGCTAACCCTTCTTGCTGTCGCTCGGCCATCGAGTTCATTGAAATCAAATTTACCTTCCCCGTCAGGTTTTCCAAAAGAGGTTTTCTTTTTCGTAACTTCGACGAGACTCGGTTGCTATCCATTGCCTGTCACTCTCATGCTCTCATGTGTTTCACACTAAGTGTTTTACAGTGTCATTAGCTGACTTCACTAACAAATGTAAAAACAGTAATTCTAAGAATGGGCCACTCTAGACTTTAGAAGTTACAGTACAGGCAGTAACCCAAAAAGAAAACCTATTATCAAGTACAAGTGTACTTGATAATAGGTTTTCTTTTTGGGTTACGTTAAACGTTTAAGTAAACGTTGCCATAACCATTATTAAATCACTTCAAAATTTAATGATTTTCATTTACGTTTTCAATGAAAATCTAATCCTTAACACTTCGTATGTCGCTATTCGCATTTCTAAGTAGATAATCAAAGAAGCACTTAAGAACTTACCTAAAACCAAATCTAGCTTCCTTAATTTTTAAAATAACTGAACACAGTTACATATTTTTTCTTGTTGAGTTCATTGTGCCGTTAAATTTTTAATTTGAAATCTATTCTTAATTGTTTCTTGCCCAAACATTATTTTTTTGTGGTTTTTGATTTGTGCGCTATAGATATTGTATTTTGAACATAGTCAGGAAGATAAGCCCTAGAAGGAAAGGTAATAACTCGAGTAGGTACGGGTCGCATATTTTTAACTCGGACTGACTGTTTGGGAAAGTCTTTTAATTTCTTTTTGTCACATATTTTAAGATGTAAAACATTTATTATTATTATTTATTCATTTATTTTAAACTAGCAACAAATAGTATTCCAGAGACACATCATGGTAAAATTCGGTATCGCCAAGAAATGTCCCATGAATCTGTTCCTTAATTGAACCTTTATCTTAACCGACTCTCGTAAGGGGTTGGTAGATACTTTGGTCCGTCATTATTTCTTAAAACCAAGTTCATAAGTATATTAATATTATTCATTATGAATATTAATTTATTCCTAAATTAAATACTAGTGTTGTTTTATACAATATTCACACAAAATTAGTATAAAGTAAATATTTTGAACTATGCACAAATGATTGAGAAAAATCTTACATTTTATCAACATAAACAAAATGAGTATTTCAACATAATAATTAAGAATGTTTCAACGTCATGTGTTTACATATTTAGAAATACTTACAATGTATAGTAATTTAAATATTGTTTAGATAGTAAAAATGTAGTGATGATAGACTTTTAAGGTATGAAAAGGGTAAGTACCTATTGAAAAAACAGGTAGGTATGTGGAGGGTATTTGTAGCTTTAAATACCTGAATTTGTTAGTGTATTGTCGCCGAGTCCAGTAGACGTGTCAACGTCAGCATGAGCTTCAGCACCGACAGAAGCAAGCGCGCATGCCCACGCGCACCCGGCCAACAAGTACCGCGCGCATTGCAACCCTTCGCAACTTTTATACTGTCGCCGCCTAGCCATATCACATCACCAATTATATCTCTTCTAAATTCTTACTGTCACTATTAAAACTTATTGTTAAAAGTTTTCTGAAAGTTAAAAAAGTAACGAAAAGTAATGTTTGAAATTCTAAAGTTACTTTTAAGTATTTTTTGTACAAAGTTAACACGAAATTTCGTGAAAAATGGAAAAACACGATCGCGTCGCGTCTGCGGTGCGGCGTCGGCGGCGACGATGCGTGTGCGGTGAGCGGCGGCAGCGTAGCGACGTGGTCGCGACAGAACTGTCCGCGGCTGCACATCACGGCCGCGACCGGCTCCTTCGAAGTCGCAGCATCTCACACCCGGTCGCTAGGAGGGCCGCTGCGCGCGCACCCACCTCGACAACCAATCGCACCGCGGGGGTTGGACCGCGTGTAAGACGTACGGAAGTATATGCAAAGGCCTATGTACAGATGATAGCGGACAGGTGGTTTCGCGGCCGTAATTAGGCTTCTGATAACTTATTGCTACATAAATATGCTTAAACGCTGGACGATTAAGATAGCGCCCGAAACCATGTCGAAATACCGACCCTACTCGGAGCTATTTTACCTACCAATTTACCTTTCTGCAATGTTATGTACATTTCGGATAAATTGTAGTTTTACCAAATAAATTTTAGGATACTGCTGTAAGAATCAGCTTAACTTGTAAAATGTAGGTCAGGAATATTCTCGACTTTATCCTCAAAATTATATCATGATATTCATAATCGTAAGCTAGGTTTATGTATCGTTTTAAGTGAGACCGACACTCATAAACTTTGGACTAAGTACGGTTTGAGTTGCAGGATAGTTTCAGATACTTTTCTTAGTTATTCGTTACCTCGCCTAATTTATGTACTAGATAATACTCGGAGATCATACGGTTTAGCATAAACATTGGTAAATATTAAACATGTCAAATAAAATTTCGTTACTTGAATTTTGGCTGTAAATGATATACCCAAAATTTCGAAACATTCTATTTCGACATTTCATATGAGCAGTTAAATTATGATCAAAATTCAACACCCAATATGAAAAATACAATTGTCGAAATACTTATCATAACACGTATCAAACTGTTATCGGTTTACTTATTATACTTTAAAATTAACTACAACTATGTACGTGTATAACATTTCTTCTTAATTCTCTTCCAACCTTCATCTCGATATGGTGTATCTGTACACAAAGATGAAGTGAGAATCTCTCCTTAACATTTATTTTCTCTTTATAAAACATTTTAACTTGTATATTAAGTCCTTTACCTGGACTCAAACTAACTCTATACCAAATGTCATCTAAATCGTTTCAACGGTTTAAGCGTGAAGAGGCAACAGACAAACAGACAGACACACTTTCGCATTTATAATATTAGTATGGATTGTTTGCCTAAACATACTGACGAATGGGCCCTGTGGCTTCCAAAAATTTTATAATTTATTTATATTCAAAAGAATGTATTATTTGAACAATAGAATTACAACATTTTCTGTGTTTAGAATATTACCTCTTGTCCACAACTAATAACATACAGTTGAAAATAAACTTACAACTTACATGTACTTAGATAAACTTAAATTTAGGCCTAATCCACATAACTTATTGATTTAGATGATAACCCACAAACCCTAAATAACGTACATTTCAAATATGGTAGGCAATAACATTCTACAGACAGAATATTTTGCTACAGTAATTAAATTGTAGGTATATCGTAATAGTTAACTAGTATTGAAATTATAATAAATAGTGGCCCAACTAAAACTCAAAAGACTAATAAGTACCTAAATATAATGTACCTTTTAAATAAAACATGAATCTATGTGTAAAATTCAAGTGCGAGTCGGACTCGCCCAGACTCGCCCACCGAGGGTTACCTACAAATTTGTGGGTACATGTTATAAATAGTTCAGGAATCGAGTCTAGCAGTTTTTTTCCTAGTTTTTTTTTCGAAATACAGTTTAAAAAACCTTTAATTACTTATATTATTGTATTTTATAAATAAAATTGTACCCCGATGATTGATAACGTACATTAAACAAAGACTCATTTTTTATGATTTAATTACAAATGTATAGTTTCCTTTACTTGTAGTATAGGACGATGTTATTTGTCAAATTTCATAGTTCTAGGTCAACGGGAGGTACCCTATGAACTTTTGATACCCTTGAGAGTGTCGAAATATGCGTTTTTTGCGGCATGAGCGGTCGTATTTTTTTTCATGTTAACTTAGAAGGTTGAGTTTTTTCACAGCTTCAAGGGACTGTAGATTTGAGCATATAGTTTTGATATCAACTCGATACCTCTACGCGTTACCGAGAAAAAGGGTCTCGACAGACAGACGGACAGCCAAGTTATCCTATAAAAGTTTCATTTTTTCCTTTTGAGGTACGGAACTCTGAAAAAATAAAGTTTACTTTTCGTAACTGTTTTAGTTTATTGCAGAAATATCACTTAAATATGCTGTTATTTTCACAAGGTACTCTAGACTTAGTCCACACTATTTTAGTTGATCCACGCATCTCATCATCACAACAAGGATGGGTTCAGGGACAGGATGAGTTTATTACTGCCATCTAATGCTTAGGGAACTCATTATCTATGCAGTCACAAGAAGCAGTTACAAGAAATGAGTAAATGATTTTTCTCTTCTCTTACTTCTTCTTCGTCCCCAGTAGGACCTATAGCCTCTTTTAACTTAAACTACCACCACAGACTCAGACTACATCTACAGACTTCTACCAACTTTGATCACAACAGATTTTTGTTGTAAATAATGTTAGTCACTTATTACGGTACACATGAGACATAGTAGTTTAAGATTTGCTCGTATTAAGGTATATGTATCTCCTAGCACATAGCTAAATGTAAAGGTAAAGAATTTGAATTTTAAAAGCATGTCCATATTCTCATCTACATTCACTAACTCAACTGGTGACTGGTGTTGGTAACCGGTGAATGAAAGACTTTCGTGAAGAGACTTTCATGAGAATGAAGAACACATTAAAATGATACTAATCAGATTTTTAAAACTGTTGGTTAATAAACCTACTAAGGTGCACTCGAAAAATAGTAATTATGAAGAATTATATTATTCTGTGAGTGTAAAGTGCTGAAGATTAGAACCTTGTGCAAGGGATGATTATAAACATTTAATTGGAAATACCCCTTTGTAATAATTACTATGGGCAAAGGTCCATTAAAATATATTCTGTACAGCTTCGCGTATATACGAGTACAACAATATTCCAAGAGACATCAGGAAGGTTAAAGAAATTACCATGTTTAAAAAGAAACTACATGACTTGTTGCTCAATAAATGTTATTATACGGCCAAACGTTATATGACCGACAGGTCACTGCTCCATTACTCCATTAGTCATGATTTGTTCAGTGTTCCCACTCTTATTAAATTACTGTATGTCTAAAGAATTGAATTGAATTATTGTATGTCTACCTTATTATTGCCTGTTTGCAAATTCTGTTAAAATGTGATCTATACTGAATTAACAAATATTATCATTCATTGCATGTACCTATATTATAATAATTTTATCTATTGTATGCCCAATGAGCGGGACATAGTCGGACTAAATACCGATAACTATACCATCTATATAATGTACCTATGATCTACAATAAAGATTACTTACTTACTGACTAAATATTTAGTGCCAGTAATTTATAATAGCATCCCAGAAGAAACTTATAGCTGTCTTTCAAGAGAAATCTTCAAATCGAAGTTGGTAAAGTACCTACTTGAGAACCTAAACTCGGTTCCAAAAATAACGGGTCAGTCACATAAACCCGAATATCTCCCGAACTACGTATGCCATCCTAATGAAACGAAGACTGTTCAATTGAGAATTTAATTATACAGATAAAAAATAAAATAAAACTTAAATCTAAACTCTCTAACTCTTAACTTATCTCTAAATTAAAAACAAAAACTAAAGTAGTCATATTTTTCTTAAGATTACATTTTTTTTATGATTGTTTTTTTGCTGTTTTTCATCACTTTCTTCATTTAATACTTTGTATTGCCTCCACGAGCTCTTCTGACAGCTTCCAGGCGATTAGGCATGCTGTACACCAAATTTCGGAGCCGGTGCTGAGGAATACCTTCCCATTCCTTCACCAGTGCTTGTTTGAGCTCGGGAAGCGTGATTGGTGGGGGGTTTCGACCTTTCACGCATCTCTGAAGCTCGTCCCAGGCGTGCTCGATGGGGTTTAAGTCCGGGCTTCGCGCTGGCCACTGCATGAGTTCGATACCGACCTCTTTAAGGTAGTCATGTACAATTCTGGCGGTATGGGGACTCGCATTATCATGCATTAATATGCCATGCCGGTCCATCCTGGCAATGGAAGGACCTACATGTTCATTGAGGATCTCTTCCACGTACCTCTCTGCATTTAGAATTCCATTTTGAATGAGTACCAGCTCGGTGCGGGCCTCATTAGAAATCCCAACCCAAACTCGTACGGAGCCTCCACCGTACGCCACTCATTCCTCCACACACGCTTGATGGAAGCGCTCCCCTGGTCTTCTGTACACCAACTGCCTACCATCATGCATAAAAAGCATGAATTTAGACTCGTCCGTGAACATTACCCTAGACCAATCGTCTAGTGTCCAGTTTAGTTTTTCTAATGAAGTTTTTTTCAATTCAATTCAATTCAATTTATTTGCGATAATATGGGTTATACAAAAAGAAAAAAACAGGTGGAAAAGATACAGCTAGTTTCACCATATTAAGCCGAATGTCACAGCATGCAAAAATTAACAATAATTATTGATTATAACAAAATAATATCCAGTAGTGTCATTTTCTAAATAATCATACAGTTCTTAAGTTAAATAATACATAATAAACAAATAATAATAAATACAAACTATAATATGTCAAATTAATACGTCAAAATTTCTGTACTGATGTATGTCAAAGGAAGATGTAAGTAGTGCATTATTTACATCATTCTACATATTATCTTCCATGTATTCTTTTACCGAATAATAAGTTTTACCAACTAGAATAGCATGTAACTTTTTCTTAAATAAAATTAAGTTCTTTTCATTTTTCAAATCTGATGGTATCTTATTATATATTTTTGGGCCCATGCAGAATATACTTTTATGAAGTAGTGCAGTTTTAGATGGTCTAATGCATAATTTGTTAATATGACGTTGCCTTGTACGGTGTTCAAATAAATGTAAATTACACTTAATAAATATAGCTGTTTCGTATACATATAAACAAGGTAAAGTTAGAATATTTAGCTTTCTAAATAAAGGTTTACATGAATCTGTTTGCTTAAGACAGGAAATAGCTCTAATACACCGTTTTTGTGCTCTGAACACACAGTCCGCATTGGTGGAGTTACCCCACAGTATAACACCGTAGCGAAGAGTAGACGATACATATCCGTGGTACGATGTTAAGGCAGTATAAATGTCGACAACT